TTCATTATGATTTTATTTATGAAACGATTGTCTTTTTTTCAACAGGTAGGGTAGATATATATGACTACAACAGGTAGGGCTGACGTATATGACTCTGAAATTAGAGTAATAGTAATAAACTTTGATGTAATTGGTTACAAAGAGTAGGCCTAATCAAACGGATCGGGAAAATGGTCCTCATGACCTGGAAAAAAGGGGGTTGTATTTTGTTCCGATGTATTAAGCGCATCCCTAATTTTAAACAATTTTCTGAAGAAAAAAAGTGTGGCCAATACAAGCGACTTTACGGCAACTTTGGCCCTGCTGATCTTCATCTGATTTTCCCCCTTGTAATACCTACTGTGGCCCCGCCCTACCCCAAAGGGTCATGATTTGTACAATTTAGAATCTACACTACCCAAGGATGTTTCCATGTAAGTTTCAGCTTTTCTGGCCTAGTGATTCTTGAGAAGAAGATTTTTCAAGATATTTTCTACATATTTCAATGTAAAACTTGGATTCCATATTGTGGCCCCACCCTACCCTCGGGGGTCATTATTTGTACAATTTAGAATCTACACTACCCAAGGATGTTTCCACATAAGTTTCAGTTTTTCTGGCTAAGTGGTTCTTGAGAAGAAGATTTTTAAAGATATTTTCTACATATTTCAATGTAAAACTTGTATTCCCTATCGTGATCCCGCCCTACCCCCAGGGGTCATGATTTTAATAATTTAGAATTTACATTACCCCAGGATGCTTCACATAAGTTTCAGCTTTTCTGGTTCAGTGGTTCTTGAGAAGAAGACTTTTTAATGAACCCACCCTATTTTTGTCTTTTCTTGATTATCTCCCCCTTGGAAGGGGGCATGGCCCTTTATTTTTACAATTTAAACTCCCCTTCACCCAAGGATGCTTTGTACCAATTTTGGTTAAAATTGGCCCAGTGGTTCTTGAGAAGAAGTTGAAAATGTGGAAAGTTTACAGACGGATGGACGGACAGACGACGGACAATGGGTGATCAGAAAAGCTCAAATGAGCTAAAAATGTTTACTCCAGTTTGGCTTTATTAATCAGGCTTGACATTGTAACTGAAGGTCAACAAGGCTCAAGTAGTTCAAACAATTTGTAGAAGTCAGCCCTGGAGAGACAGGTGTCCAACAACAAACGCAAGATGGTGGAATGGGTAAAAAGAGTAAATAGAACTTTTTTTTTTTTTTACTTTCATTTTTAAGCATTATATTAAGATGAAAGCAAAACTAAAATTCATTTTGACCCTCTTAACTTCTCTTTTGACTCCCAAAAATTTATTTTGAAAGGTCAAAATTACCCTTGGTTTTTGAAATTAGGAGGAACAGCTGGTCAACTTCATATATGTGATAGAGTTGAACAATCGCAACTGGAGATTTGAAATTTTTCAGCTGGAGTTTGGATCTTGAAACTGGAGATTTTTTATTGGCATTTTTTCAAATCGCAAGACTATCCTACCCCCTTACTTAAGGAAAAATTACCTTTTAAAAATCACTATAATCAGTATCAAAGAAAAGTTTTGAAAATTTTGAGAACTTCACTCTCTAACAGTTTATTACTTTAAAAATTTCATTTTATGAAATTATTGCCTAGTTCAAAAAATATATAGCTTTTATTCAAATGAAGTGAAATTTGATATTCAAAATAAACAAGAGGCCCAAGGGCCTTAACAGTCACCTGAGTACAATACAACAATTTAGAGGATCCATAAACTGATAAATGAAGCTTTGTTGCCCAGGAGCAAGAAAAATAGTATGATTAGCATCAACAAAATAATTGGTCTAGTATCTATCTGTCCCCCATTTATCACTATTACCAAAATGTCTTTTTTTACCTCATATTATTACTTCTCACATTGGCCTCTCTTGGCCTTTGAAGAACATTTAAAAAGATAAGTTATTTTTGTCTCATTTTTATTCATTTACTATTTCCAAGTCTACCTGATCATCAAAACTATGATTTCAAAGTACTTTTTGTATTATACAATAAATATTCTTGCATAATTTTCTTATTCTATTAACCTTTCAAGAACATTATTTACAGTGATTAATTATCAAAGGCGAATGGCAATGAAAGGGGAATAACTTTGCTCAGCAGAATACAAGTTAATAGAGCCCTGGCCAGGACCAGAACACTTGACTAAATGGTCCAGGTGTTCAAAATTCTGGTAAAAATACCCTTGCACATGTTGCATATTAAAATTTTAACTCTGTTTGCCTCGAATATGCCCAGAAGCATAGAAGATTTTCAAAGAAATGCCTTTTCACTTTATTTTTAAATAAATAAAGCCCCATCCTTACACCAGAACATCTGACCCATTGGCCATGAACTCACAATTCTGGAAGAAGCACCCTTGCACATCATAACTATACACTTGTTTCTTTGTTTTATAACCAGTAGTACAAAAACATATTTTGAAAGAAATTATGCATTTTCACTATATAATTAATAGGCCCCCCCCCCCTTCACCAGACCCCCTGACCCGGGGGCCATGATTTCACGATTTTGGAAGAGGCATTCTTCTGTATCATAACCATGCACTTCCTTTGTTTGAAAAATACCCAGGTGCAGAGAAGAAGATTTTGAAAGATTTTATGTGTTTTCCCTATATAATGAATAGAGTCCTGCCCTCACACCAGAACCCCTGACCCAGGGGCCAGGAAATTCATAATTTCTGAGGAGGCAGCCATGCTCATCATAACTTTGTACTTAATTTATTTAATACCCATGAGCAGAGAAGAAGATTTTCAAAGAATTAATGCATTTTCACTATATATATCAATAGAGCCCCGCCCCAACACCAGAACCCCTGACCAAAGGGCCATGAAATTCACAATTTTGGAAGTGGCAACCATGCTTTTGATAACTATGCACTTAGTTAGTTTATTTAATACCCAGGAGCAGAGAAGAAGATTTTCAAAGAATTAATACAATTTTACTATATAATCAATGGAGCCCTGCCCTAACACCAGAACCCCTGACCCTGGGGCCATGAAATTCACAATTTCTGAAAAGGCAGCCATACTCACCATAACTATGTTCTTAGTTAGTTAATTTAATACCCAGGAAAAGAGAAGATTTTCAATGAATTAATGTATTTTCACTATATAATTAATAGAGTCCAGCCCTAACACCAGAACCCCTGACCCTGGGGCCATGAAATTCATAATTTTGGAAGAGGCACTCTTGCTCTTCATAAATATGTACTTAGTTACTTTATTTAATACCCAGGAGCAGAGAAGAAGATTTTCAAAGAAATAATGCACTTTCACTATCTGATCTATATAGCCCCACCCTAGCACCAGAACTCCTGACCCTGGGGCCATGAAATTCACAATTTTGGAAGAGGCTCTCTTGCTCATCATAACTATGTACTTAGTTATTTTATTTAATACCCAGGAGCAGAGAAGAAGATTTTCAAAGAATTAATGCATTTTCACTATATAATTAATAGAGCCCCGCCCTAACACCAGAACCCCTGACCCTGGGGCCATGAAATTCACAATTTTGGTAGAAGCACTCTTGCTCATCATAACAATGTACTTAGTTACTTTATTTAATACCCAGGAGCAGAGAAGAAGATTTTCAAAGAATTAATGCATTTTAACTATATAATCAATAGAGCTCTGCCCTGACACCAGAACCCCTGACCCTGGGGCCATGAATTTCACAATTTTGGAAGAGGCACTCTTGCTCTTTATAACTTTTGAGAATTTGAGAATTCTTGAGATTCTATGTCTAGAATTTTTACAATACATTTTCAAAGTTGGCACTTCTTGCGCTCCATTTTTACTTAATATTTTTTAGTATTTTGTTTTATTTTTTGCTTTTTCCCAATCAAGACAAACAAATAGGGACTTAAATAATATTACTTTCATGATTTCTTTTAATTTAAAAATCGAGAAACAAGGAAACACAGAAGTAAATGTATTTTGAATACAAAATATATATACTCTGCCTTATAATTTAAGCACATAAAAAAAATTAAAGGATCTAATAAATAATTACATATTAATAAATAAATAATGTAAATCCAATAAATTATTTGAATTGCATATTTAAAAAAAAAATAATGTAACATGTTTACAAAGAAATTAACATACTTATATACAAATGTGACATGTTTAAGGATTATTGAATTTCATTAAATGAAATAATAATTGATTTTTCAAAAAATTGTTTATCAAAATTCGTAAACTTCTTAACATATAATGATGGTACCGGAAAATCAGCTTAGTTATAATTATCGTCTCAGACAGGTGAAGGTAATCATTGATAACTAAGCTTTAAACTTAATAATCGATTGACAGCAATTACAAAAATAGGCTAATGTTATAAAGATTTTATATCTAGATTTATCCATCATCATATGAAAATTTACCTTTTATATGTTTTGGTTGAAAAATCAGTGTAGGTTCAAAAATGCAAGAGTTGCTGTTATTTGTTTGTTAAGAGTTAACAGCCCTTTGTTTTGAAAAGTCCGGTAGGTGGCGACACCTCTATCCTCTGTTTTTAGAGGATAAAATCTATCCTCCAAAAACGGAGGCCACCCAGACCTGTTTATTGCACTAGAGTTGCTATCTCAATTTCTTTTCATTCTGGGTAATTATATGAAATGAGATAACAATTCAGTGAAATTATCATTAATGGGAAGATTTTCAAAACACGGAAGATTTAAAAATTAATCGGGAGGGGCAGAAGGGGATTGAAATATAGGGATATTTTGTCTCCCATCGGAAGAATCACATGTATGCAACTTGTAACTGGTAATACTTAGAATAAATTAGTGTTGCCTGATTAGGTTGTACAAGTTAAAACTTAAATTAGTGAAAGCTGATTTAGTTGTACTTTGTAATACTTAAAATAAATAAGTGATGGCTGATTAAGTTATAAACGGTAAAATTTAAATTAGTGAAAGCTGATTCAGTTGTACTTGGTAATACTTACAATAAATAAGTGATGCCTGATAAGTTATACACGGTAAAACTTACGATAAATTGATGGTGGTTGTTGACCTGTCTTTCCCACGTCCCAAATGGAATGTCTCGTCCAACAGGATGGCCAAAGGTCACTCTATCCCCCTCAGATAATATAACATTCCCTGTAGGAGAAATAACCAATTTCTCAAATCAATCTTGTACAAGAGCAATCAAACAAAATAATGTTCCTCTGCAAGAATATGCATGAATTATTGTTCCCCTGCAATAAAATAGGTTTATCATTCCTTTTGTGGAACAGGACAAGATAATTCTTGTTTCTATGCAATAATGCATAACATTTATTGTCTTCCTACAATAAAATAGAGTTTATCATTCTATCAATGGAACAAGCCTTTATATATTCTAAGCAAGTGCATTGAAAATAAGTAGAAATACACATCTAATAAACTATACACTTAAATGGAGGTGGAATAATCCAACGTTTCAACAAATATTATCAAAATTCATTATTTCAAACTTGATGGGACTGAGAATAAACTTTGAGATATTCGAGGGTTCGAGATATTAAGGGTAAAATACTTAAAAAGAGCTTGGGACCCCAAATCACTTGGACATATCTATGGTGTTCTAGATACCCGTTTCGAGATATTAAAGTTCAGTTGTATTGTAGAACATGTATTTCCACAACTATTCTCACATCATATGACATTGTATTAAAACTATTTGTAAAAACAATTTCAATTTTTTATTTTATCAAAGTTTTAAATATTTAACAAAAGATAATTTTTTTAATTTGATGCCAATCAGCTGTTTTGGTGAATTTTTACATTACCTCTTATCTTAATATGGTTCACAAAGACACCATTCAAACTATCATCAAACAATTTGTGGTCATTGTTTGGTTGTATAACCACTCGAGCATGAATTCGGGAAATCATCTGTGACTGCACTCTGGTGTCCGAATCAATGTAGAAATCAACCTCTAGACCATTCCGTCCAATGATACTTGTTACCTTATAAAAACTGAAAAAAGACTTCTTCTTCAGAAGGTAAATTTGCTATCAAGTACCTGGAGTATTTTTGTGAATTTTTCAATTCTGGTAAGAAGAATTAGGGGAGAAAAACATAAAACAAAATAGGTGTAATTTAGACTAGATCACAATTTACTTTTTAAAAATAACATTACCCTTTGCCTTTCACCTTTTTTCTAGTCAGTATATTTCAAAAATTATCAATCAAATGCTTAATGCATCAAAGTGTCCTCACGTTAACTTATAATTATAATAGAATGTAAAAATATTTTCCCCTTAAATTCTGCTTTGATAACTTACTCCATGACAGAAACCACCCTTGGTCTATTAGGAGCTGGTCCGATTCTCTTCAGATGGAACTGAGGATGGTTGGAACTGTTCAGTCTCTCCATTGTAACTTACCAACTTAGGAGCATTAATCTACTGGAACATGGAAGTTAAAATCATCAAATTCTAATGTATAAATGTAGCATTATTTACAGAGGTAACTACGAGTTGGGAAGGTAACATAAAAGCAGATCACACAAACATATTTAATTTTGGGTGTCAAATACAAGAGTATCCCTAAAAAAGTTTATCACAATATTGCACATGTAGAGAATTCTAAAAATATTTTAGTGTACAATATAATAAGCTATAAGAATCCCTGAGAGTCAACTTGTACAATGTTTCATATAAAAAGAAATACGATGTCATCGTTGTCTGTTGCTTGGCAATTGATTTGGGAATTTTTAGTCTCAAAATTGGGAAAAATTAACAGTTTTTTGGCACTGGGAATGGCACCATTTATCGGTACCAGTTATGTAAGGAAAAAAAAACGCTGCATAAATAAAGGGAATGTTTCCAAAAATTAGTTGTTAAGCACTCCATCAAATATGAAGACAAGTTGTGTGTGTTGTACAAGGTTGGCATCAATTCTTGCAAAATGAACCCAAATTCTTGCAAGATTTTGATTACCTGTATATCAAACTTCTCACTCTGGGTAGTCAAAATAAACTTATTTGCTGAATGATTAAAAATGATGCATGAACAAGATCTTCAGCAGAATAATATACATGTTCCTTCCGTTACAATTTAAAATGCATGACTCCTGACATAGTGTTTTTTTGGGGGGACAATAAATCATTTCGTGATTGACACAAAATTTCTTAAGACTACTGAAATGTGCAATTTGTTTACACTTCACAAAAATATATTCTTCATTCTATAAGCCATTCTTCACTGTTGCTTCATACAATTTTAGATTTAGTTGAGTGGAAAATATAAGAATAGATTTGTAAAAAGTATTGCACAATGGCATATACCCACAATTCCTGTTACTAAGTGAAACTTTAATGCAGACTTTTTTTAAACAACAAATTTTTGAGTCAGGTGATTGCTGACTAATTCTCTTTGGCCAGTGGCTTTTGTTTAAACTTTTCCAACAGAGTCAATGCAAAATAATTTGAAAGAGTATATAAGCTAGACATGAAAGGGTGACACGTGTGGTGGTCGTTCGCCGGTGGCCAAATACCTCAGTTGGTAGAGCACCTGACTGGAGATTCAGGGGGTCCGGGTTCGAATCCTGGTCTGGTCTGACTCATTTTTCTCCTCTCCTGTTACATTTGGTGCTGTGACATGCCCTGGAAGTGATAGGTGAAAGACCTGCCAGGGAAGAGCCTAGGATGGTACCTTCGGGACTGAAGACCTTTAAAGAGGGCGAAATGTGGCAGTCAGACGGGTTCAGATCACTGGTGGCCAGATAGCTTAGTTAGAGCACCTGACTGGAGATTCAGGGGGCATGGGTTCGAATCCAAGTCTGGTCTGTCGCATTTTTCTCCTCTCCTGTCACATGCGAATGTCCCTGCTGACACCAGGGATTTTTTTAGGGTCTCTCCGGGGCTGAAATTCAGCCCCATTCCAAATGCTGAAAAGCGCATATTTTCCCAAAATTTTACCTAAAAATTCCCAATATGAAAAAAGTATAAAGTAAATTGTAAATTATTAAAATATAATAATGACAAAAAGGCGTTTATTTCCTCTATGTGCAATGTACGAACCATCCGAGGAGTTTCGAGAAGTTATTCGGAATACTACGGATGTTTGCATGCATACTCTTTAAAGCGGGATTGATGTTTAAAAATTAAAGTCAGGATCGTTATTTAATAAATAAACATGCATCATGTCAGTCTCTCCAGTTTGCCTAGGACGGTAATTTTCAGGCTGGGTTGGGTCGCCCTTATTCTTATAAATTGGTCAAACAATACCAATTAACCACTCATCTGGAATAAATCCACTGTCAAATTTTATTTTAAAGATCTTCTTACATAAAGGTAAAAAAGATGACAACGTATAAATATGTTCATTTAGAATGTTATCATACCCTGCGGCTTTGCCATTTTTAAGCTTCTGAACTTCAAAAGCCGATATCATTTCAAATCACTAAAGCTGGTTTAAGCCACCTTCATACTATGAAAAATAAGAAAAATGATTAAATATTTGACATTTGCTTGTTTTTCCTATTTATTTGTATGAAGATATTTTTCCCAATTTCAACCAAATATCGCTATTTTTCCCAATCTTGACAGCCCTGGCCCCTGGATTCAAAGGGTAAAAGAATCCCTGGACACACAAGATTTATATTATATGACAGTCCAAGACTGTGTAAACAAAAGAATATGAAATTATGAAAAGTTAACAATAATGACAAATGGCAATGGGTAAATTCTGATAAAAAAGGCTCACTTGAGCCTCAAGCTCAGGTGAGCTAAAAAGATCAAGGACCTCTATTTCATGGGACCGCTTTTTTTAAAAAGAGAAGTGAAGTCTTCCTACATTTTAAAAGTATATCTGGATTTCTTGAAAATATGTCAATACATGTAAAAACTTCCTGAACTCCAGTTGAAAAATTACAGATCTCGGCAGTTGTGGGAGGCACAAAAAAATCCCTTTCCTAGTTGCCATATGATACTATTGAATTCAGAAATTGTAAGCGTGCAAATGACAACCTGTTGATACTGGAGTGGTTAAAATGTTAACTTCGATCCAGCAGAACTAATTTTTGTCAAATGCCAATTTTTCACTTTCTATATTTTTTCTGCGAAATCGTCAGATTATTTCCAGCAAATATATACACGTTTTGGTGAGTTAACATCCATATGGAAATTGAATTCGTACCTTACAAAAAAATCTGAGACATTTTATAGGTCTAAATCATCAGGTAAAACATGTATAGGTACAACCATCTTCGCAACATATTTTGCCTCCGTCTCCTTTTCTCCCGCCATTACGTAATACTAAGCTTCGACTAATACCAGAAAAGTTATAATGGTCCGTCAAAAAAGTTTACTTACGCTTTTAAAATATCATCTCTTCCAAATAAAAAAAGTCAACTTCAAATCAAACCAAATTCTATTTTTTTTTAAATTTAAAAGCATAGAATACATATTCATTTAAATAATTTGATTGAAAAGACAAATCCTGCCTTTATAAATCCACTGCAAATAGTCATGTTTACGAGATTCTCGAGCTTTCCTTTTTGCGAGAAGTGAAAACGAAACTAGGTCTTAAACCCCGATTGCCTCTGGTGATAAGTGCTACTGAAGATGTCAGAAGTAGAGTGGAGGCGGAAATGGAAGCCAGATTTGAAAGCATGTCCGTGGCAACCGATAACGATTGCCAGTCAACAGTATCTGTTCAAATGCATGTACACACACAGTTCATACGAACTATTGTTTACAGACAACGTGAAGTTCTGGTTTGAACAACTCGAAGGAGATGATTTGGAGGAAAGAACTGTTGCACTGAATCCAAGTGTGAAAGCAACACCAACAAGGATTCTGGATGAAATACAGAACTGCCTTGAGAAACCGTCAAAGAAAACTAATTTATCAGCATCACGTAAAAAGAACAAATTCGTTATAAATGTTGATTCACAATTGGCAGGAATGGCTTTTGTTTGGCAGTTTCGTTGTGAGGAGGCAGACAGCAGCATGATTTCAGAGAACTTCAATGTACCTTTATTGGCAATGGTTGCTGAATTAACTCGTCGAAATAAAGAATTGATAAAAATTATAGAAGCCAAAGATAAAGAAATTGATGACTACAAATCTCAGGGGGCCAAAACATCTAGGAAGCATATAGAAACTGCCATGTTTGTAACCACTGCATTTGAGAATGACATGATTATGTCAAGAGATTTTGAAGAGGAAGTGAAGCGACTTGGATCTTCTGGATTTTCTGAGGACAATCAGGATCTGTACAGACAGATCATGACTCGTTACGCATACTTAACTAGACCAGTGGCAGCAGAGGAGACAACAGATGAATCTGTAGATGATAAGAAGACCCCTTCTGTAAATTCATGGGAAATCAACAGATTACCAGCCTCTCTAGCTGACCGCAGTCCTGTTAAATCTGTAAACAACTCACCACAAAAAAGTCCAGCCAAGAGCAGCAGCTCCGAAGAACCATCACCAGTCAAGGATTCAGAGTTACTCAGGAGACAAGCACTGGAGAGAAAGCTCGAGGATGAAGAGAGAAAGAAGAATGAACCCAAGAAAAAGAAGAAAAAGATTGCCTTCTGATAACCACCATTCTGAAACTAAATCTGATGGACATTTGATACAGATTTCAGTGTACATGTACCTCAAAAATTTAACATGGATAACATACAGTTGGTTCACCCTTTCAGTATAGATTATGAAGGCATATGAAAGGACTCGAGAACAAATATATGTTGGATAGTTATATGTCAAAATAAAAACTTATATGAGATATCACTAAAGATTATAACATAGATCTGTAAATATTTTTTGTAGTTCACATCTGAATGTATTTCATTTATAATTAAATGTAGTTTCAATGAAATTCTTTTCAGTAAAAATAGATATGATTAAATGTTTTGTTTTAGGTTACTGAGTGTGAAGGATATCATTCTTTTGATTGCTGCAAAATTAGTAACACATTATACAAATCAATTTAAATCAGTAAAAACAATCAATCTTTTATCTGAACACAATAAAAATCATGAGTATTAGGTAACATATTCAGATCTTCAAAAGTGAAGTAGTATAGATCATGTACATATTAAAATGCAGTTGGCCTGATGCATCACTGGTCAGGTGCTCTACCAACTGACATATCTGGCCACTAGCAATCAAACCTGCCTGACCACCACATTCCTTCCTCCATAAAGGTCTTTGACCCTGAAGACACCAAGCCAGGCTCTTTCCTGGCAGGTCTTTCACATGCTTTATGCTGGTCACAGCACCAAATGTAACTGGTGAAAAAAAATCAAGACAGACCAGACCAGATTTCAAATCTGGGCCCCCTGAATCACTATTCAGGTGCTTTACCAACTGAGTTATCTGGCCCCAGTATTTGTACCTACCTGACAGAAACATAGAATGTGTTCATGACAAGAAATGAATGTGTTATATGATTCTATTTTCATAATTGCTAAAAAAAAATATGTATGTATAACTATATTGACTGGTCAAATGACAACCCATCGTCTCAAGCCATGGTCCGGAGTCCGCTCATAGCTGAGAGGACCGTACATTTTGGCCGTGGTTTGAGACGATGATGACAATCGTGGATGTCGATCTTTCAACTTCACAAAAAATTTCTACGGCAAAAAAATTTTTTTTATTTGATACTTAGACCAGAATACATGTGTAAAAACGTAATATAAATAGCGAACCAAAATAAAATCTTTCTTTCATTTTCATTACATAAAATCGCACCATTCTGGTCTTTTTGTCTATTTTTTTTCGGAGGCTGACCCCCCCCCCCCCACACACACACACAAGGAGGCGAACCCTTCTCATACTGACACTTCGCGCCTATTGAAGTCTTCGACTTCACATTAGCCTACACATGAACAGAAATTAATATAGGCCACTGCATATAGCTAACCAGAGCTTGTAATTTATCTTTTTTAAATATCAATTTTCTCCAGCCTTGTCCGCCCCCTTTCCAGCTGAAAAAAAACTGAATATACCCAATGCATATTACTAAAAAAAAAAAAAAAAAAAAAACAAACAGTAAATTTACATACGATTATCATACCTGAAGCCTCCCACGCTTTCTAAATGCACCAAATGCAGAAGACTCTTTTTTTCAGTGTTTGGTGGTTTGACTGGAGTAATAAAAAGTGTTTCACATATTTTACAGTATTATTAAATGGCACATTTTTGAAGGGCTCCAACAAGCATTATAAACAGCACAATTTACAGATGGCATCCTTACAAATGAATAGTACTAGTTTTAACTCTATATACATAAAGGGAACTAGGATTATGTAAGTACTTTATTTATGATTTAGCGCCTAAACTTTGTCTTTGATCAATGATAAGAAAGGAATAGTAGTTCATTTAGCATCTGTGTACTGTAGCTGAGTCTTACGTCACATTGTATACTACCGGTGCATGGGGAAACTGAGTAACATCATAGTAACGTGATAGCACAGACAGTGGTTGCAGACATTAAAAATGTGTTTAATCTGCATAATTTTACTCTATCTGTAGTATTGCTTCTAACAGCTCAAAATATAACATACATCGACTTTTCGACATTAGAAAATATTTCTGAAAAATATGCACGGATCAAGGATTTTTTCTCCAGCTTTGGGAGGGGGCATACCCAATCAAAAATATCCGACTCAAAATTTTTTGACGAGGAGAAAAAAAAACCAAGTTAACCCTCAAACACTATTTTCGGGAGGGGATTAGGGTTAGGAAAATTAAGTCACTTTCTTTTATATTCTTGATGTTTCCAAGCTCATTTTTTTAAAGTTGCTGTACGATAGAAATTCAATTACTCTGAAAATCCCAGGTGAAGGGGGGTGTCTATATAGTTCCGGGCATGGAAAAGTTCATCAATTAAAGGTCAAATTCAATGGCAAAGGGATCTGTAACCTTTAATTAATATATATTTCAAAAACCCTTACATGTAATTATGCAATATTATGTGTGCAAAGTATCAAATTTTTATCACTTGGTTCAAAAGATTTTGAGACACACGAATAAACAGACACATAGCAAACTAAAGTCTCTGTAAGCAGCTGCCTTTAAAAGACGAATTTGCTTTCAAAACAATTAAAGCCATATATAGCATTTTCCCCATCTTATATATTCCATCGTCTTATTTGGTTAAGTTTTTTTAGGCATGTAAAAGCGGATGATGAACCCAAATCAATCCTATCAGACCCATAGGTACCCGGGGAGGGAGGGGGGCACGGGAGTAATTTACAGTTGTGTCAGTATCAATGAATTCAGAGCTCAAATAAAAATTTAACAACATGCACTGGTCAGCTTAAAAAAGAAATGGCATCGATTAAAGGATCAAATTTATATTAGGACCCTCCACAATAAGATTCATAACATTAAACAAGAGGTACCGTGAGCACTGAGCTCAAAAATGATACCCTCCACTCCCAAATAAGTATGATGGCAAAATCCATTTTTTGCTATGGTAAGCACCCAAATATCTGTCCAATCAAAATGTAAAATATGAGGTGGACAATAGCTTCATGTAAAAAAAAAAAATGAAAGTCTCGTTAAATTTTATTCAGTGGTATAGGAGGAGTTGCGGATAAGAGATGGATACCCCCAACATTATAGACAGAATGGCAGTGTCCAGATTTTGCTATGGCTAATTAACCCCAAATATGTATCCAAATGGAAACGAAAAATAGGAGGTGCACAAGGGCACTATATGTTTAAGATTCTGTGAAAGTTTTTTATTAAGTCAGTCTTATTAAATTCAATCAGTAATATCTAGGAGGAGTTGCGGATAAGAGATGGGTACCCCCAAGTGTTACCGATGTACAGATGGACACCCCATCATTATTTTTCAAGCCGATGGGGGGGGGGGGGGTTTACAATGAAACGTTTCATAAAAGAGCTACTGGTGCGTCCGAGTGATAAATCACAGCCTTTGTATATCAGGTCCGGGGGAAGTTATCTCATTGGGGGGGGGGGCAACCTAACAGGGATTTAAAAAAAAATCACAAGACGTAATTTTTTGAGGGACACAACCGTAAATAAACATTATTTTCTATTGTACAGTATACAGTAAAATATATAAACTTGAAAAATTATTAGGGGAAGGGGGAGGCTATATCCTGCAGGCCTGTAAATATATTAAATACATCAAGATGGACATATAAATTTAATTTATTACAAAGAAAAATAATCAGCAACATAAACATTATGATTTAAAAGTTCTCTACAATCACTCTTTTGAAATGTTCAACAACTAAATAAACCTCTGCAGTTTTACAAATGTTTTATAGACTGAAATATCACAACATAAATATAATACGCTAATAGGAATTAACATAATTCAGTCGCTAAACATCGGACGGAGTAACGTTATCCATACAGCCACCGGTGACAAACAGAACATCTTGTTGATTCTTTGTCCCCTATCTCAGTAGGGGCCTCCGAGGTCTCCATCTCTGACGACCCCCTCTGTGTGGATTTCTGTCCATCCAGTGCCGCCCCCTCCTCCTACCTGAGAAGGAAAGGTAAGTCTTTATTACACGAAGTGTTACAAAGGGGTTTTCTTTAGTATTATAAACTGGGAATGATGGACGTCCAGAACAACAATTTACCAATACCAGGTACTACATAACCATGACCGCATACTGAACATTAAAAATGCATAAACGTATCACTGTATACCAGTAATGAAATTTGCATTACACAAGAAAACCAAAAATAAATAAATAAATAAAAAAAGAAATTAAATATGAAAAAAAGAATACTCTAACCCATCAAACAGTGTGACAGCATAAGTTTGCAAAAAAATATTTAAGCACGTTCGTCATCCTTGAAAACCTTAAAGCTGTAACATTTGCGTACTTATTCTGAAATATTTATTTTTATCTTATATTTGTCATCTTAAAAGTGCATTTTACATTGTTTTCAATTTTGCGGTTGCTATATACAAGAGCAATCAGACAAAATCTAAAAATAGATTTAGGATATGTATGCATGGGTTAGGGACTACATATTTTTTCATTAGAATTAGGTACTAAGTACTATAGTATTCAAAAATCAAGACTTCCCTAAATCTTTAGAAAAATTGATTTACTTTCATTTATGTTCCAGGAAACTGTATTAAGATGTACTAGTATTCAAGATTGGCAATCGATTAATCATTACAACAGTGTCGTAAAAACAGACATAATCGGAAAGTAGTATAGGCATGACAATACATAATGTATATGATTAATTTCATTGACCTAAAAAAATGATGAAACGCCCGTTTTAATTGAAGGAACTTTTATGAATTTGAATAAATAGATATTCAATCAAATGTTTCAAGGACAAAAAAAATTATGGAACAGAAACAGATATTTTTCACTATTTACATGAATGATTCAAATGAATGGGGAAAAAATCAGTACATTTTCTGATGATTTGAAAATGAAATAAAAATTGGTTGTGTTAAAATGAGGAAATGTGATAAATACTTCTACATTTGAAGGAAATGAACTATTCGTGTAATAAATGGTTTAGATGATCTCATATAATGAGATAATGAACATTGAAACGTCTTATAGATATATAGTCAAACATAAAAATTTCCACTATGTGGTTAAAAGAATACTAGTAGTTAACCTGTTGTATCGCGTCGATCAGGTAAGGATGCCCGAGGGAAAAGGGCACGCGGTTTTACCGAGGATAAATGTGGAAACCCATTGACGTAATATTTCAGTCTCTAATATCTGTTATTTTTTGTTTCCTTGAAGGTTGTTAATCCCTTATGTTCAATATATATCCCTATTAGCTGTCATTAATAAGGAAAAAAAATGTAACAAAGGTGTCAATTGTTTGGTTTTTAATGGATTTCTGTGTTGTAAACAAATTGGACAAAAACCGCAGATGTACAATAACATTACTTTCTTCACTTTGGTTTTCCACACATACATGTGATAAAACATTTAAAATAGCCATTTATAACATTTCTTAATTAAAATTAAAAAATCATGAGGTTTTTTTAAAAATTGGATAGGCTTTTCACTAGTTGCTTGTTCTTTGGTCCTATGTAATTTTCCCATACATTTTCTCCTATTTTCAAGCTTCGTAGGGTCTACAACTTAATCAAATACAGACATCCCTTTTTCTTCATGTACGCAATGTACCTCATGGGAATCTCTACACTTCGTATATTCACGTATACTGGGAAATTCTCCCTCTATCTCCCTCCTTCCTCTCTCTCTCTCTCTCTCTCACTCACTCACTCATCTTCTACATTGCATACTATCACAGGCAGTTTATTATTGGCACATGTAGAGTTATTTTTCACGGAATACAGTTTACAGTCTATACTCGTGCATGGAACATCTTCCCATTCCTGGTCTACACTTTTTGCTGACGGAATCAAAATGGCCACCGTAACATCGGTTAACGTAGTATTTTCCCATGGAGCATCTCGCAAATCTATTACAGGCATTAGTGCACTCGTAAATCTGGTTTTCAGAGCACGAACTATTACAAGATCCGGGTCTTTGTATGATGCATCCGTTACCAAGGTCACAGTCTGAAATGAAACAAATACGTTTGTGAAAAATGAAAAGAAATAAAATTTACTTGACTTTGAAAGCGAAAAATAAAATATCTTAAAATTTTCGTTCAAAAATAATTTTCTGTATGGCTTTTCTGAAAAATACCAATATGTCATATTTAACAAAATAAATGCGGCACAAATAATTCAAAATTATTTGCAACTTACGATTTATAACGCCAGAAAGTGGTTTGTTTCCATGGAACTTTTTCTGTGAAGGAGCTACTTGATTATTTTTTAGTGATGGTCCTTGAATTCCAGGATACGTGGGTCTGGTCCAGCGAGGAGAGGGCTGAATATTGGATTGTCTGATGACCGTCTGCCATGGCCACTTATTGCTGTAGTCACAAAAGAACGACAGGAAAATTTCATTGTCGTTGAACTGAGGGGCACCGTTAAACTCGTACAGCTTCATTATGGAATCGCCCAGTGAATAGGCATATAAGTGCGGCGATTGTGTGGTAATGTCTATCGCTCCGGAACATGGTTCATATTTCTTGGTTCTAAGATTTAAACAAGATGGACGACAAACTCTTCCACAGGAATCGTACGCTGAAACAACAGCACTGGTCTTCCCTCGGACTGGGCTCTTCACGGCGACGTAAGCAACTGAAACCGAGACCGGAAGCCTCTGGTCTACAATGGCGTATTCTTGATATGTTCCGGTATAAGAAATCCCGTCAGTTCTGACAAATACTTCTCCAGCTCCAGTTTGTGAGGATTTACATTTCTGATAGCAATCTGGACTACCTGGATTCAAAGCGGACTTCAGTTTGGTGTAAGAATTCAGAGAGTAAATGTCGCTTCCAGCTCTGATATTACCGCTTCTAACGGGATAGGAATCATATCTGGTAAATGATGGGTCCCTCTGAGAAATAACTCTAACTGGGAGGTAAACCCATTCCTTGACGTCCTTACGGCCATTAGCACAGAAACTGTTTTGGATAGGTTTGTATTCAAATGCTGAGCACTGGTCAATCAGGGGATAGGTGATTGCCTCTGGTTCACCGGGGTTAACGGGTGGCTGCGGACGTGAGGGATTTCTGTTATTACTACCAAACCACCGCCTATTGAACCATGGATTGGTAGGTTGTCTAGGAAAACCCCCATTATTACCACCTGGTCTGGGAGGAGTTCTCTCTTCTTCCAAATCTCTTCGATATTCTTCAAGAGTTTTAGATATGCAAATGTATCGCCCATTAAGTTGAGCGCATCGTAATTTATTAGAACCACAGTCCATTCTTCTGGCACTACAGGTTGGGGGTTGCTCGTATTGATAAATTCCATTAATAAGCCGACCTCGAACGCCATCTCTTACACGAAGGTCTGTTCTAAATAAGCCGAACTCCGCATCTGGTGAATGGAACTCATTTCCGAAGTCGTTTGGATCTGTAGGATAGTCGTTGTCAATATCAACACCGGCTCGGCGAGCATTACTCCGCTGAAGTTCCCAAATTCTGTCCACATTGGCGTGATGCATCCAGAAAAGAGGATCGTCTGCTGCAGTGTTTAGTTCCGCCATGTTGCCACCAACCCACAGATGGATGTCACCATGATGAAACTCCAGACCATTGCTCTGTACATCTCTTGTTAAGCCACAAATATCTCTAAGCCGTGTTTGGGTAGTAATATTCTGAATTTCTTCGTATAGGTAAAGTTCCCCCTCAACACCAATGTTTCTTCTTAAAGGGCCAGTTTCTGTTTGCCAGTTGGCTGCTGGTCCAGACGTTACCTCACCATTGCCATTTCCCATGAATTCTGCTGTGAACAGAAGCGAATCCGCACTATTATCCATATACTGGTCCAAAGTGGAGTCCCAGTAAGGAAGGGTCACACTGGGGTCTATCTCTCGAAGGGCCTCTTCGTACCTAGGAGAAAATCCAACAATTTATTAATGCTGAAATAATGCCGTCCAAAATCATTGCAAGGATAAGAAGAATTCAATTATAAAAAATAAATTACAATGTTTAATGCCTAAAATCAAGGTCACAATGACTTGAAATATATCTAAAAATTTCGGCTGAATATTTAAAAAAAATGTTACTATACGTAGAATATGAACACTTAGCGTTACGTGCACTTACATTTTCAGATATTCCCTGTGGAACCCTGCAAAATGGCATCCAAAATGAGCTGTCTGTTCTATGTCGCCGGTGTGTATGGATGCAATCATATCGTACTCAGATTCTCCGTTCTAAAAATTAAGATAAACATAGCATATTAATAATTGCAATCTAATGCTAGCTTCTCCCTTTAGTCTTTTAATATCAGACGTTTCTGAGTGCAATGAATACTGGTACATAAACTCACCTGGCTTTCTTTGAGTCTCCTAACGGCGTTATGGTACCTGTTTCTCTCATTATCGTTCAACATCCGGTATTCTTTTCTTCTGCGCCCCGCCTGTCTCTTACCCCGACCAGAACTTAGAGACTGTACTCTTCTTGCCAGCCTCTCGCCGTAGGCTATAGCGCCTGGACTGAGCCGCTTCACCGGATATTGTCGCTCTGGATTCGGCTTCCACTTATATTCCTGAATACAGTTATGCAGAATAGAGAGGCCAACCTCATCCTCGATAGTACACGATTTGTAAAACTTGTTTAAGCATTTTGCCATCTCATTTGGGAGATCTCTAGATCGTAGGAGACCCTTTGTCTGTATAAACAGGATGCATAATGCCAATAGGCAAAATGTGATGCAGCCCATCTGAAAAGAAATATATGAGGTATTAAACACTTACATAAATTTAATTGATTAATTTAATGCTTTCAAGATTATATTTTTATGAACAATACAAAAACTTTTTTGAAAATTTTAAAACTGTACCTTTTAAATGCACTTTTGACAATGTTGTTCCAGTTGTTTGAACTTGCTAGGTCTCTTGTCTCTGATCGCGTCTTTTTTGCGGCTGTCTATTCTTATACTCGGTTTCACGAGGAAATAACCACGATTTTCTGTGACGTCACATCTTGTCGTCCACTGACATCTATGGATTTTATTTGAAGATTGTGAATGCTCGTATCAGAGTGTGCGACATCGATGACACTTGTTCGATGAGCCGATCATTTTGTCAGTGATTGATTTTCTCACCTGTTTTATAAATATTACCTTTGAACTACGCAAATACCGTAAAATTAGATTATAAAGAAGTGATGAATTATTTATTCTTTTGTTTTACATTTTTTCCCAAACAACTTTTTACTTTCTTTTTTAAATGCATTGTGTAATTGTATTTTTTTTCCAGGTTGAAATATAGGAAATAAATGATTACTCATCATTTATATGGAATTATTTTTCATTTCATGGTGTATCAAACTTGTATTTTTAGATGGTCTTTAAACAAATTTGGAAAAAAAAGCTTAATGCTTTCTAAACTTTTGTGCATTACAGTTAAATGTTAAAGTTAAGTTCGAATAATGATTTACTTCTTACATTTGTAATCAATCTCAAAACTAAGCAAATCTCCAATGACAATCCGCTGCTCTTTTAATATACCGTCAATTACATACTATATATGTATCAAAAATTAAATTAACATTAATTAATTAATAAAGAGTTTTAAATAGCGCGTATAATAGAGGGGATTCAATATACAAAACTTTTCTTCAGAGTTGCAGTTTATTTGCATAGCATCATTTGTATTAAGAAAAAAACCCACTTTGATTAATTATCTTGCAATAATAATGTAGATGCACTTCACATCCGGTTTGATTGACCAGGTAACGACATTTTCTTGAAACCCAAAGTAATTATAAGTAGGTCAAGCTTGTTGTTGACGTCATAGTACCAGACACCTAACAAAGAACAAAAACTATAAATATTTTGTCATTTACCGTCACTATTTATAGTACCGTACAGCGTCATAGCGTGAAAAATACTTCTGACGAAGACAGTGTCAACTATACATAAATATATTTTTTATCATTAATATGTATACCTAGTAATATCTTATACATATCATTAAAATCTTCACAATTACTATTTATTGTAACAATACGAAAATCGCCCCATATTAGTATTACATGTGTATTCCACATCAAGTTTACACTGTACTTCAATAGTCTCAAACAACACCTGGCCCCGGGATCATGAAAGATCTTAAGCTTAAGTCGAAATCTTTATGTTGTACTAAAATATTGTAGCATTAAAGTAGACCAAAACTGAAATATTTTTTAATATTGCTTTAGAAAAGCCTCGTTACCTTTAAATTTAGAGATTCAATAAATAATCAATAAACATTTTACAGGCATTTGAAATTTTGACTTAAGTCTAAGTCTGTTTCATGATCCTGAAGCCTGCTGTTACAGTTCTGTAGAGAGTGGAGAATTTTGATATCAATTGTTATCTGGACTGCTGCTACGTAGTCTTTACTTAACCAATGCTACGTAGTCTTTACTTAACCAATATATTCTATAAATATCAGTATACGTTTTATTTTTTTCCTGTGTTAATAATGTATTTTTTATGCATCATTATTTCCCGGATTACTTTAAGAAGGTGAAAAATTTCATTATGTATTTTTACTCGTAAAAAAATATCAGCAAATATTTTTTTTCCAAAAATTTTTATCAAGTGTTTGCTTGTTAAATGTAATATTTTAAAAATCAAAGATAAGAATGCACTAGAATAACTTTCATTTGTAGCTAAATGTCATAGGATACTCAAAAATTAAGTTATAGAAATTTGTAAAGCAGTCTGTGCAGGCTTCAGATTTCCTTTCAAACGATCTTTATATCTATACTACTATATTAAAATAATAGACTCGAATTTTTGGCCTTTAATACCGATAAATCGGAAGAGTACTGTCTTTTGTTTGATATATTTTAAACATCATTGGTACTTGAAGATTACCAATTTGTTTTTATTTTTTCTCAATTAAGCTTCGCTAATTAATAATCAACGAAAATTCCTCAAAAAATTCCGGAAATCATCTGGATTTTTTGGATTTTACAATCTTGCGCGTGCGCATTACATTCACGCTAAATCACGGTGTTCAAATCAATCTCCCTTGCAGAGTTGTCGTTCGTTTCTCTCTCATACGCGAATGTATGAGCCGTTGGTGGAGAGTGTGTTCAAATCTGAGAAGACAAAAGTAAATACGAAGTAGATATATATTTGTTATTGTATAATTTCTCTAATAAGAAATCAGTAATATATATGAACCAGGGATGGGGTCAATTACTTTAAAAAGTAATTAATTAAATTACAATTAGTTTGACTTTTTCTTCAATTAAATTACAATTAAATTACAGGCTTTCTAAGACGTGTAATTAATTAAATTACAATTACTTTGCAAAAGTAATTAATTAAATTACAAATTACATTTTTTTTTTTTTGAAAACTGTTATAATCCTTGTCTATGAATATACAGAACGTCATTTATTTGTATATAAGCCTAGCCACTGCACAACAGTACAAGAAATAATATGCTATAGGCATTATGTATCATTGTGGTTTAATTTAATTATATATTTATTTACAAAACATTAAAGAATCTCTTAAAGAACTATCCCAGATCAGTTTGATGCAGTTTCCACCACACAAAACCTACATGTACACAAATTGCATGGCTTATGATATTTGATTAAAAGTGGGTATTTTAATAGAGTAAAATGAGTCGCAACTGTAACCCCTCAAATTAAATACATGTATTTCCTTAAAAGGTAACCTGAACATCCTATTTATATTAATAAATATGCCTAGCAGAGGCAAGATGGACTAGCGCCTTTGTTTATTCAGTACATGCTGATTAGCCCCTTTGTTTACTTAATGCACGCAAAGGTGTGAATTCAGGACAGGAAATCACTTCTCGCTTGAACGCACACAGCCACCTGGCCATGTAACATGCCTCAGGCTGTCAGGGTATAAGAGATAACACGAGAAAATATCATTTGATTGCATTGATTATGCAAGAATTAGCCCAATGTCACAGATAGATTAATTTGTAAATTAAAATGTTACACATTGTAAATCAGGATCGTTTTTTTTTAAATTGAAAGTAGAAAAAACAGAGTTGATGAAGAAATGTGAAAAATAAAACTGCTGATGAATTAAGACAACTTACAATGTACAGTACCAAAAAAACTGAATATTATATGTGTGAAATGGGCTAGGAAACATCAAAGTATGAAGTTAGTTTCTATCAACATGTTCAGTGATTCTGTGTTCTAACTTTTTGAGTTGACACCCAGAGAATCAATGTTTCTAAGCCAGAAAAAAAGTTTTAACCAATTTATATATTATTTCAAGTTTAATTTTTTGGTATGTTCAGTTTCACTTGATTTTGTTGGTAGATTATTTTCAAAATAAAGAGAATGCCCACTACATTCATTATCCAAGTAGTCCTCCCCCCCCCCTTTTGCAATTTTGTTCTGTTATTTACCTCATACACAAATAACAATATTAAAGTAAGGAAAAAAAATTCATACCCCAAACTAAAATAATTTTTGAGCAAGTGACAAAAAGATTCACACCTATTACTTTTTAAGCATAACCTTGATAACCATATTAATTTCTTGATTAAAAAATTTGAATATGAATTTTGGCAATAATTGCCCTCTCAGTGTGTATTAAATGAATTAAGCTGACAGATTTATAAATTTCTCTTTTAGATACTTGTATAACTAAAGATTTCAGTATTAAATAGTAATTTAAGTACATAAACATGATAAAGAAAATATTTATCGTTAAAAAAGTGCCCTCATGAAAACTTGTCGCGGCATAAAGTGCCCTTTTGATAATTGGATTACCATGCCCTTTTTAGGGTCTGGATTTAACACTAATAATACTTGTACAGATAGGAAATTCATTCATAAAAATCTGTTTAGATGTTGAAATAATTATCAAATCGAAAGTTTTTCTTTTCTAAAGCTAGCGGAGCATTTCTAATTGAAATAATTATCTCCATTGGCCTTGTCTTCTAAATCATGGAATGAATATCTCTTAAGAGGGGTTGATTTGTTTTGATTGCAATTTACAGCTGTGATCTGGAGGGCAATTATCTCTTCCCAACAAGAAAGAACTTAATTAATGACACACAACTTATTTTCTTTATTATTGATCAAACAACAAAGGTTGAAATATAATAAATGTGTGTTTCATAGCTGAATAGACCTAAGAAGGGTGGTTCAAAATTCAGATTTATAAACATAAATCAAAAAATTCAAAATTTACATAATGATTAGAATGAAACTAGATTATTATTATCAAGCCAATCATTTAATTATTTGTTTGTAAACATTATCTTAAGATTTTGTTTAATTGAAAGATTTAGGATATGTTCAACAATTTAAAAAAAAAACAGTAAAATGGGGAGGTAGTGGTGACAATAAATCATGAATATATCATGAATGTGTATTATATAAAGAAATTGAATGTAATTGAAAAAGTAATTGAAATTACACAGTATTTTTGTCAGTGTAATTAATTAAATTACAATTACAAGTAATTGAAAAAATGTTCAATTACAAATTACTTCCAATTACTTCAAAAAATGTAATTAATTACAGTTAATTACAATTACTTTTTTCAATTACCCCATCCCTGATATGAACAGAATATATAGCAAATTTCCAATGTGATATTGTGGCCACGTGGGTAATCATTCGCCATCTCGGAGACACATTTATTATATGTTGTTTATATCTCTGGCCATCTCAACGGAGGCAAAAAGCTCATGATCGTAGGAGCAACATTAATGTAACTACCCGATTTATTTTATCCCTCCTTTCTTTTATACTTTTTTGAGGGGAACTGAAAGGGGGGGGTTACAACTCCAGTTAGAATCACATCTTAGTGAAGTAGGCATTCTTTTTCCGCCAAAAATTACAATGATAACTACTATATAAAAATTATAGACTCGAATTTTTGGCCTTTAATACCGATAAATCGGAAGAATACTGTCTTCTGTTTTATATATTTTAAACATCATTGGTACTTGAAGATTACTAATTTGTTTTTATTTTTTCTCAATTAAGCTTCAATTTTTATTACTTTTTCTATGTACTAATTCAAGGATATTACATTAATTTTTATCAAAACAGACAGTCTTTTACAGATTATATACCTGTCTATTACCTGTGTATATATAAAGTATATGTATTAGCCGTGCTTAACTCTTTTATTTTGAACAAGTTGAGACCTGCAGTGTTAAAATTGTTACAAAAATTTTTACACCTTTACTTTAATAACTGATTGTGTAAAAATACCAGCTTAGCACATTTCTTCATTTCATTACTTTGCTTGATATGTATCAGCAGTGTGCTCAACTCTTTGCTGTTGTCATATTTTCAATGAACATCCATAATTTCTTTTATTTAATTTGTTTGGAAGGGTAAAACTTATGTAAGCTCCGGCGTGATTCGAACTCAAGACTTGATTTATAGCTAACTGGTGGTCAAACCCATTCTGCGCTACGCCGTTACGCAACAATTAAAAAAAAGCAAAACAAAACAAACACCAAAAAAAACCCCCAGAATTATATTCACATTCATTGTTTATTTAAAAAATACCTTACAATATGAATGTGTCGATGTATCTATTTTGTAAATGTCCGATATGCACATGGATGCATTCATAACAATGTCAACCCGTGCACGCACGGGTCAGAGTCTAGTATAATATTATATTGATATATACCTGAGGCATCAGGTGAAGGGGGGGCTTTTCCTGTGGATTTCCAACTATTTGATAATACAACAACGTACGCAGAAAATCTGCAGGGATTTTGGGGGATTTAATTTCTCCTTGTTTTTGTATAGAATTTTAAAATAATGATGTATAAAGACAACAAACAACAACGGTGCTCAAAAGTCCAATCAAAAAATAGAATTTGGGTGCTGGGCAAACGCGGATCCTGAAAATAGAGATGGGATCATTTGCCGTCAGGAGTTAGCATTCCCATCTAAACAGTCACACTGCCTTGTGCTCGTTGTCATGATCGGGTAAACGGGAAAATCTATGGTCCATTCAGTGTGAAAATAATGGCCCAACAATTCGTATGATAGATATCAGACAACATTCAACTTCACGATAGACTGTATATGCTAACAAGGTCATTGTATCGACCATAGAATTTGCGAAATTTTGACTTTAAATGAAGTTGTTGATATCCTTGTACATGTATCGTCAACTTACGGATGACACGCAACAATTAAATATTCATCATTTCCAATAAAACATACCCATTGAACAATATTAATTTTCCGTATTAGCGATCAATCCTTTATTTTTAAAATCGAAGCAGAAATCAAAATAGGTCGTCTTTTAAAAATTAAGGAATGACTCTTGTAGCTAGGGGTAGGTTGTCATACAATGCAAATAAGTTTAAACGTGTGTTAGTACATGAAGAAAAGTGAATAATTTAAGATTTCAACTCTCTAAATGAAAGATGTAGTAAAGAAACCAAACAGGAGCAAGTTTTGTAGAGAGAAATATGTGGATTGCATTGCATAATAAAAAACATTAAATTTTTGTGCTTAATTTTTTTTGCTGATTCAGTATTATCAAGTGGTACTTTTACAGCTCAATTATTCTAGAATTATTTATTTCCCTCGTTAATGCATTGTCATGAGGCTAGATAAATTATGGTTACTTATTGTACCTTTAAAAACAACATCTTTAGTATCCAATCTCTTTTAATTTTAAGATAAATAAGTTACGCTTAAATGATGTATCAAGATGCATTATTCAATATAAGAATCCGTAACTTTTCATGCACGTGAAGTTGGGGACTAATTATGCAATGCCCAATCTCTCTTCATAAATCTTGCAAAATAGTTATTTAACTTTGGTGTACGTTTTAATACGTAGATTGTTACTTAAAAAAGTTAATTAATGCATTAGAAAAAATAGTTTAGCATCAACTTTTGTACGATTTCTAGAAATGAATGGTTAGAATTATACCAAAGAACACCATCACTTTTGGTTATATACTTTAAATTGATAAAATGTACCTATCTAGATATTGATACATTTTATACACTCCAGCATGTCTATTAAATGTGAGAGAGTTTGAATTATTGTACATTAAATTGAAATTTCTTTGTTCTTTGTTGATTTACCCATCTTCCTCTATCCCACCCAAACTTTGAATTACGAATAAAAATTCTATATGTTCAAATTTGTATTGTATATCGTAACCGTATATCTCGAAAAAAAACGAGACTGATAGGTATAAATTATCAAACTTTTTTTCCTTCTTTTTTACATTTTCTATTTACATATTTTATCATTTGAGGTTTATAAATTCATATAATTTTAACAAAGATTCTTCATTTTTGGCAAATTATAACAGACATTTTTTTTAATTAATATTCATGATTAATCGAGTGCTATTTTAATCTAATACTTTTTCCCAAAGTTGCAAACTTCAATAAAAGAAAAAAAAAATCATGATGACCAGACTTCGGACTTGGAAAATTAAGGTCAAGGAGACACAACCGATTGATAGAAGTAAACTGTTCCTTACCGTTATTTGTAGTAAAAAGAGCAACGTTAGCCCAATGCAGATCTGTTGATCAGGGCAGGACCGATCATTCATAGTGACTGTTAATACTCATGTCACCTTATTCCAGGATATACATTTAAATTTAAAAGAAATGTTATCAAAGACATAAAAATCCAAATATTTTTAAAAAGTGCGATGTAATGTATACTCTCTTCCTTAAAGACTGTGAGCAATGCACAGTCATGCAGATGTGTCTAGATTTAATCAACTCTGCATCAAACGTCAGGTAATGATCAATAATTCCAAGTTAGTAAATAAAAGTAAAGAAGAATTTTTTCTATATGTTCAGATATTCCCAAATCCATGCATAGGAACCAAATAAAATAGAGAAAATCCAGGGAAAAATTGTAATGTAAGATAAATTATTAAAAGACAAAGAATATAAATAATAATAAATATCTTTTTATTTTCAAAAGACACATTTAAAATATGTATAAAACAAGTCAAAATGTGATTAAATTACATAAATGAATATAAATAAATTACAAAATGGATGAAGTAGCACTATTCTGTCCATTCAATCACAGATTTTTCCACGGATCTCTCTACCAAGAGCCGAGGAAAGTATATGAAGACAAATTGAAACCAGACCCAAACCACACTGCATATATTGACGACAAAAAGACAAATTTGGCACATGCTTGCGGAGGGATTTGATTGATGCTTTATTCTACAAATCTAATCATGATTCCAGAACATTAATATATAAACAACAGCCATCAAGACGATTTGTAGACTCTGCATGAATATTGATATTGTCAATATTGTTTGGGACTTGTCGTGGTTTCATTTAGAGACATAATGCAAAAATAAATATGGCACATACGAAAAACAAAATATTGCACTTTGTAAATGATTTTTTTCCCTTAGAAAAATCATTGCACTTTCCGTTACAATTAGAGATCTCTCGAGTTGTTTATATATCTACTGGATTTTCTTGACTTGTTATTTGCAAAAGAAAATCGAAATGGAAATTGAATTTTCCTAAAATAAAATTTATTTTCTTTTGCAAACCTCAAGATTTTTATTTAAAATTCATTAGTAGTTTTTGGTATTTTCCATGAACTAGGGATGCAGTAAATATTTTATTTACCAATCCCAAACCCGCGTACACCGCCGAACTTCCTTCGACCCATCTGTCTTTTTCCGGGATTCCATTCTTGATCCGTACAGTGACCTTTGCCCAGTTTACATTTGCCTTCTTTGGGATCAAAATGAGCCTTGTAGCATTGCTGGACAAAGTAAAACCCTGCCCAGCATCTTGCAAACCGATCACACGAGTCCACACACTGATAATACTTTCCCGCGTCACACGCAGCATCGCAGTCTGCCTTTAGTATTGTACATCCTTTATTAGGCAATGGACATTCTAAAAAATAAAAAAAAAATATTCAAAATGAGAAAGTTCACACTAATCATATTGCCAAGTTTCAAAATATTGTAATGAATGATAAAGCTATACAGGATTTTCTAATATGAACGAAATGATGAAGTAGACTTACTCTTTAGTGGACTTGCTGGGATAGCTTCTGTGGTGGTCAATGGGGCATTGACTGGAGCCTTCAGCATCAGCTGAGGAGCACTGACACTTTGTAGTGGACTTGGTTTCATTGACTTTCGGCTGACCTTTACTCCAGCTGGGGGCTTTTCTGGACCCTTAACACCTGGCTGATTGAGTGCTGTTTGCCAAGGCCAGCGGTCACTATAGTCACAGTAAAATGATACATAAATTTGGTTGATGTTAAACTGAGGACAAGACCTTTCTGTGTTAAAGTCCCAGACTCCAAGAACTGAATCACCAAAACTGTTCCCAAACATTAGAGGCTGTTTTGTGTTTACACGAAGAGCACCTGCACATGGTCGATAAAGATTTGTAGTACCAGGAACAAGACAAGATGGACGACAAACTCGTCCACATGAATCATAAGCTGAAATCAGAACGTCGGACTGTCCTGATCCGGGATTTTTGATAGCAACGTATGCAATTGAAACTGACACTGCCAACCTATGATCTACAATAGCGAATTCCTTGTACGTTCCGTCGTAGTTAAGACCATCTGTTTGAATATAGATCTCTCCGGCTCCACTATATGTACTTTTACAGCTTCCATAGTCTGCAGGTTTTCTTCCATTGCGCATGTATCTGTTCAAATTGCTATACCCTTTTGACGAGTAAATGTCTGTGTTTGTCATTGCTTTTCCGTTAACAACAGGATATGATCCATAGTTCCCAAAATCTGTCGGTCTACGAATTGTGACTCTGACAGGGATGTAAATCCATTCATTAATATTCTTTTTACCGTTGACACAGAAGGAATTCTGGATAGGTTTATGAAGATCTCCTTTCTTATTCTTTGGTGGAGGGGGGTATGGTGGCCCAAGGGTGGGGCAGACTTTAGGTGTTGTGGTTGGCTGTGGAGTTGTACTTGTGGTAGTGGTCGTTGTTGTGGTTGTAGTTGTGGTGATGCCTGTGTGCCCACCACCACTTGCTTTAAATTCCTCATATTCTTCTATACTCATTGAACGACATTTATACTCGGCTTTATCATTCTGAACACATAAGAGATAAGGGGAACCACAATCAGGTTTCTCAGCAGAGCAGGTTGGTCGTGGAGCGTATTTGTAGATGTCTTTTGTGTAAACCTCACTCAAACCGTCACGAACGCTGAGACCCTCCATCATGTCACCCATAGGCTCTTCTGGACCATGATAGACGTCGCCAAACAACTCGGGATAATCATTCTCGATGTCGACTCCACTCGCCTTAGCGTTCTCTCTTTGCATTTCCCACACATAATCAACAAAAGCGTGGTGCATCCAGAAAGCAGGCTCCTCAGAGGCCACTTCTATGATACCCATATTTCCGTCAATGAACAAATGAAAGGGGCCATGTATGAATTCTATATCGTTAAAAGTCGTAGCGTCATCCCCGCATACTTCATGCATTCTCGTACACGATGTGATGTTCTTTATCTCGTCATCATTCATTGGTCTACCAGAAATTCCAACATTTCTGAAGAGCTGTCCAATCGTTGTATTCCAGTTTGCAAATGGCCCGGAAGTGACGAATCCCTCTTTCGTACCAAAGAAGTCGTCATGCCATATCATCGAGTTAGCACTGTTTTCCAGTCCCATGTTATAATCCATGGTGGAATCGAGGTAAGGTAGTGTTACGTCAGGATCCACCTGCATAAGAGCTTCTTCGTACCTATTTAAAATCAATTTTTAAAAATAAGATTTATACATTTTTCAATCCAATTTTTCAAGCTTTTTTTTTTTAATAAAAAAATAGAAACGTATCAAAATTTATTAAAATGATTCATAAAATGCCATGAAGTCAAAGTCTTAGAATGTGTTTATACAAAAAAAAATCAATTAAGAGTGAATGGTACACGAAGGTAAGTTTGTGTCCTTTATAGGAAGTCCCTTAAAATAGATTGATATGTGTATTGAGGGCTGTGGTTTTTTTTGCTTGCGTAAATCATGACGCACTTTACACTGTGATGGCGACACGCATGGTCAACATTGTGTCTTTTCTTCTATCTTGCTGATAGATTGTCAGACTTACATTAGAATGTATAAACGGTGAAATCCCAAGAAATTACATCCGCCATGAGCTGTGTATTGCGTGGCACCAGAATGGAAAGAGGCCAGCACATCGTATTTGGACTCTCCATCGATCTAAACATTGATTTTCATAAAGAACATTCAGTAAAGAGTACTCGTATGTTTCAAAATATAGGATTTCAAAAAGCATTTTAAGATTATACCTTTACATATCTAAGGGTAAATGAAAAATCATGAATACGAAAAATTTCTAAAGAACCACTAATTTTGATGACATGACGTTATTCTCTTAGTTCTCTTCACCTTTTACATCTTATGATATTAGATATGAAACTATGACTCTTATCTCGTCAATGAATTTGGATCAGTGCATATATCCAGCTTAAATGCTGTATTTACTTTGAATCATATTTATATAATAGTTCATAAGAATTCTTCACTACGAGATGTAAAGTACATGTATATTATTTCCCTGATACAGAATTTTTTTCATACGAACCTTTTCCTCGTACTTAAGTCTGTTGATGACGTCATGGTACCTGGTGCGTTCATCATCTGTCATTACTCGATACTCTTTGCGGACTCTCCGTGTATCTAAGCCTTGTCGTCTCATTCTTTGGCTGTGTTCGATTCTATTTAAAGCACTAGTGATTAGATTACCCGTATACGTAATAGTAGCCGCTGTCACGTTCTTTGCGGCAAAGTTTCTTAATTGTGACGTCTTCCATCGGTAGTTGGAGTAACACTGGTGATATATACTAAGTGCCACTTCTTTATGTATTCCATGAGACTTTTTCCACATTTTATAAAGACACTGAGCATAAGGAAGCGGGTAATCCAAGGTTTCTAACATAGCTAGTGTGACAGGTAAAAGTCCGAGGAACAAAACACTTATAAAACACTTTGTAACTGCCATCCTGTTTCTACAAGTAAAACAAATAAAAAATGAGAATACAGGGGTAGTCGATCTCATAATTTATTTTAAAGTCTCATAACATAATTTATTTTAAGCTGAGTTGGGCACAAACCCTCCAAAATGAATACACTATAAAAATACTTACTTTGTTTAATTGAATAGTACGTAATCCAAAAACAAAATTTAAAACATTTCTGTCCTCAGTTTTTATGTGTGTTTCGACTTTTATGTTCAGTTCAAATGATATTTATTGATATAGAACGTGATGTTTTTATACAGAGCGAGGTTTGGGGGGAAGTCCTTAGTCTGCTAAATGAAGGCTAATTCGTCACGTGAATGACAATATTGTCTTCTTACGTCTTCTGTCAGTGTCTTGACAACACGGACATCATTAATAGAGCATCACACGCAAGACGTCCCTACCAATCAAACATATCGCGGTTCATTGCCTAATCATTCTGGGAAGTGGCTACCCCCTGACAAGTCGCCATGGTAACATGCTTATTTATGAATGAAATTACTTACTATAATACTACTTTATGCAAATTATTGCCTCATGAACTAGATTTGTTAGCTATTCTTATATTTGTCCGTTTTATTTTGATCAACCACTTCGGACGTTTTTGCATGGTTTCTGACAAGTATTTGAGTTTTATAGTATCTATATTTATCCCATGTAGAATTCAACTATGATGAGCTATCTGAAATATCAACATTACTCAGCTAAAAGAGGATTTAGAAAAAAAAAATGAATTTTGAATTATGAAAAAAAAAATTAAATAAACATTAAAAAAAAAAAACTGGACAAAGAAATGAAGGATTTCGCAAGTTTATTTGCATAGCTAATGAAAATAATTGTGTGACTACACATATGACAGCATGAGTATGCAGTAATTATTATAGATATATTTCATTAGTTATAAACTCTTTGTAGACAAATTTGTCCAGCGATAACAAAAACATAAGATTATAGAAGAAATACGTTAAAATGATGAAACATAATGTATGATATCATATATTTTTAAAAATAATATTTTCAAACGTTCAGGGTACTTTATTATGAGGCTTATTTTTTTAATGAAAAGACAAACGATAATTTTCCTTGAGGTTGAAAGGAAACATTTTCTTTCTAAAATAGCACTTTTCTGGACTGATTTTTTTTCATTCATAAAAAAGTTATTGAAATGGACATTTCGAGAAGCGACGCCCTTCGATTCTTGGCAATTTTAACTTTTTTGACGTATTGTGCAATTTGCATTAAAAAGCCCATCTTTGTCAAAAATCAGTTCGTGCGTAACAACGTAATCTTCCAAAGTGCATGAAATGACATGAAATATTTGCCTTAGGCCATCCTTAATTAATATCGTAAACAAGCTAAACAATGGTTTCTTTACAATATCTGACAACATGAATCACTGTATAATTGAATCAATATATACATAGGGATTATTTTAATATTCTCTGTAACTAAAAAAAAAAAGTTAAAAGACAAATTGCTTGAACCTAAATTTTTTACCTGACTCTAATATTCTTCTTTAATGGTAGTTGTGATTTAAAAAAAAAAAAAAGGAATTGCGTTAAAAAATCACATAAAATATATTTTATCGAATCTCTCGTTATGTGGAATATTTTCTGTAAAAAGACTTAAAATATTATCTTTTATGACACATTTCTCTTTGTGTTTCACAAGATTTATATAAGGAAAGCTATGAAATTTCTTCTAGCAATATTATCCCTTATCATTAAACAAACCACAATAATTAGCCTAACAATTAATGACAATGTAAGGTATATGAAGGACTATAGCAAGTTTTTTCCCACTTTTACTTATAGGTAGCAGCTGAAGATAAAATATTTAAATTTAGAACTCGTCCAATGAAGTGTAAAAACTTCGAGTCAGTCAGTGAATAGTTTAGAATAGTGAATAGAATAGTTTTACGGTCTCATCAGAAAAAACTCTAAACATTCTGAAGATCATTTGTCAAGGAAAAAATCATAGTCCCTTGATTCGAACCAGTGGTCTTCTGCTAATTAAGGGAGCGCTCTACCGACTGATACTTTGTAACTTAATGTCTGTTTAATAATTAGATCTTTAAAAATACATTGTACATGTATCTCTAGAAAATAGAGGGGCTTCAGTATCTCAGATGGCACTTGGTCATATATTTATTGGGTTTTTAAAGAAAACATATATACATGTACAAGATGTAAATGTTATCATCTTAAGAAATAAAATTCGAGCTATGTAAATTTAATATAACTTCAAGATTATATTTTTAATGACAAAAGAGGAAAAACGGAATATACTGCAGTCAGTAAGATTGCCAATAAATATTCTCTAATTTGGACAATTGAAAAATAAATGTAAATAAATAAAAATTGAAAATAAAATAAAATAAATAAATGAATATAAAAGAAAAATTAGGGAAAAAAATCACTTGACATTGTTTCTGAGGAAAGTGATCAAAGTAAAGTTTATTGCATCCATTTTTCAAAGCATTCACATGATTGAAATTAAAAATATTCTTTTTGTGTATGAATGTTAAATAGATTTTTTGTTGTTGTGATTTTCAGATGGAAATCTGATCAAAATTAAGTTTTAACTTGACAGTATCAAATGATATTCTTAAGAGTCTAAAATATTCTTTATATATATATATATATATATATATATATATATATATATATATATATTGGAAACATCCCTACTACCTACTTACCTACCAACCAACCCATTTACCTACAAGGTTAACTGCAAGACATTTAAACCGGTTAATCGTACCCCGGTATTTTTCAGTTAAGTACTTTTCATGTACACAATAAAACTACAAAAGAAAAAAAAGACGTTCGTAATATTTTTTTAATGTTTGATCAGAACACTAATTTTTTTTTAAAATTCATTTTTAATAGGCAGAGAAAAAGCAAGAAAACCACGAAGATGTGTGAGATATCAGAGATATTGTTTATGATTTTCAGACCATCTGTCACACATTTCATGCTGCATTGTCACCATACTCAGATGTAAGTTTGAATGTACAGTCTCAATTACAATCCATAGTGTCTACTCTCTCTCTCTCTCTCTCTCTCTCTCTCTCTCTCTCTCTCTATATATATATATATCATACAAAAGAAGTTGATGGACAAATCTATCTTTGTATCGAAAATACTATATGTATCAACTATTAACAGTCCATGGGTTAAAATATAATATTTGTATAAATGGATAAAATACCTTTCTTTTATGCCTGCATATAACAATATTAAGTTTCTTACAACGTTACTAATGAAGATTTTTTTCTTATTGCAGCCTGTGAAACAAAAACTTCACTTTAAGAGGGGTAAAATTCACAAATGTGTAATAATTACTACCGAAAATGTGAAATGAAAACTTAAGTAATCAACTAAATATTTACTTGTACTAAACCTAAGAACAAAAGTATATATTTACTTGTAGTAAATACATCGATCTGTATCTTCACGGTCAGCAATTATGTTATCAACAATTAGCCATCTATCATTTTTTTTTAAGTCAGGCAATAGTTGGATTTGAATAATTTAAAACGAAGCTAAGGCATCGTTTTCCTTTATAGAAAAATCGCAAATTGCACGTTTTTCTATTAGAAAAAAAAACGTACTTTGAAACATAATTTCATTTTGTAAAGTGTGTTCAGATACATCATATGACCTAATGTGTTACATCTTATACAGAATTAATTAACTAAAATGATTTACAAATAGTTATTGAGTTAAATCTTGTACAAAATTAATTAACTTAAATGATGTACAAATACATGTAGCTATTAAGCAAAAATACAGACAAGGTTAATCAAGACGTTAAGTCTTTTCCAGGGTAGAAAATTCTGTCCATATCCATTTTTATATGATATATTGTATATTATATATTTCAGAAACATCTGTATTGTTTTTCTGTATCGGAAGTTTGATGAAATTTTAGATATAGATACACAGTTTCATATTTTTTCATTAGATACAAATCGATCTTCAAAGTATCGATCCTCCGAAATATGGCTGAAATATAGCCGACTCGGCGTTAAGCAATAATCAATCAATCAATCAACATATCAGATGAATACTTTTCTTGGAGAGATAATAAGAGAGGAAAAAACTTTTTTGGGAAGGCATCGGTGAAGTAAAGCTACCACTTGAGTGTCCATCCGATATTTACGAAAATGCTATGAATGATGTTTGATGGTGATGGCAAAAAAAAAAATTTACAGGCTTTTATTTGCATACCGCAGGGTCTTATTTGCATACCGCAGGGTCATTTTCTTTTTTAATTATACTCGTCAATTTGAGTGTAAGCTTAAGCGAAAAAGTGAATTAAGAGACGATATTAATAAATCAATCTTCATTTTTCCTCATCTCAATCAATAGATTATAATAAAACATCTGAAGGAAAATCTTCCTACTTGTTCACGTTCTTCTCTCTGCAACGATAGTGCTACTATCATTACTACTGGTGATTTAAATGAGGACCTTAGATCACCTATTGTGAAACGGCTGAAGTTTATGGAACTCTAATCTTTTAACTGAAGACAAAATTTCATATATATATTATGAATCCTGTCGAAGATTATGCAAGGCGATGGGTCAAATATGAAGGAGAAGACCTTGACACTTTGTCATTATGGATTAAAAGTGTAAGGTGGATATTGAAGTTTGTTAAATGATTGAAGGATAATATAAAAATCACCTACCCCCCTGTCTTCAGTAATTCAGAAGTGAGTTAAGAATTAGATAAATTACATATGATCAATATGTACTGGTCCCAGTCTTTGTCTGTAACGCTCATAATTTGTATTTTAGATGAACTCGGATTTAATTCTATAAGTGGTAATCCAACTTATACTCATAGTACCCTAAATCATATGTCACTTTAAGGGGCCCGACCCTCTGATAAGAGAGATTACTTTTTAAGTAAAAATCCTAAAATTACTTATAGTTTATTTTATCAGAGTTTAATAATCGACATCTTTGAGTAGTCAATTGGATCGAACCTGCCATATGATGGAAACATAACTTCTTTTTCCTTTTGCCTATACTTTTCAATTTGTTTTATTATATGACAAAAGTCATATCCAGATTTTAAACCCTTACAAATTGAATAAGTTGTATCTTTTAATGGACCATTTTAAAAATGCTTTAATGTATGAAGTACTATATGCAGAATTTTTATTAGTATTGCATTTTTTCCATTGTAAAAAATATTTATAAGAAAGATAACTCTTGCTAATGGACGTA